TAATGCAATTTATATTACAGGTATTATTGTTATTATAATTTTGTAAACAGGAGGCTGTAATAAATGAGCGATTTTACACAAACATGCACTTTTCAAGAATTATATTGTTGTTTAAATAATTTTCACTCTAATTTATAAATTTTGCAACAAATATTGATATTAATTTTGTTAATACCATTTACAATTATTGCAAAATTAATATTACTAACACCTTTCTCCACTATACACTGTGATTCTACCATCTAATAAAATGTATAGGGAGATATTATTGGGTCCCAAAGTATGTGGAAATCCTTCATGAGCTCCTCATTATACATGTACACCCACTTTCTATGAGCATAAAACCATGCTACAATTATGTAAAATCAATTTCCTGTCTCATTGTGAAGGTGTGAAGGATGGTGTGAACAAGGAACTTCAACTTAATTTATAAAATCAGAAAAATAAAATTATTTTTATAAAACATATAAATTAGAAAGTAATCAATTATAATAATCTTTTATAATTGTCTAATAGTGTCTGTGCTAGTCTATCAGCTCTTCTTGTATTCTCTTGTTTAATTATTTCTAGAAACAAACCAAAATCTTCTCCATCCTCTCTAATGGATGCTTTAACTAAACTAAGCAGCTCGTCCATTCTTTGATTAGCAGTTAGTCCACGTCTTTCATCAAGAACTTTAGTTTTCTCTCGTTCGTTTATCATCCTCTTCTCAAGTAGCTTATCTACTAATGTATTTAGATCAAGCCTCTCCTTTATCATTCCAGTACATTCTGTCATTACTGTATAAGCAAGATCAGATCTAAATGTACCTATTAATGATACAAATTCAGTGATTAGTGTGTTAATATATTAATATCAACTTACTAGCTTCAGGTACTGATGTTGATTCATGCACTACATTAGAGGAGGAGGTAGTAGGATGATGATCTGATTAATATTAAATAATTAATCAATTGAAATGATTTATCTATTACTTGTTGAAGGAGGAGTAGTTTTTAGTGCTCTAGTAATAAATAATGTCTTAGGATCAGCCACTCCATCCAGTGGTACAGAGTAATGTAGTGTAGGAACAGCACCAGATGATGCATAGACTGATATTAGACAAGATGGAGGAAGAGGATAATTAGCCTCACCAAAACACTTAATGTCAAAACGATTCAGCTAAAATAGTAATTATTAATGAATGATAACTCATTTCAACAGTACTTACTCTACAAGGCATAAAGTGAGGCATTACAGTCCATCCATCAGTGAATTGCTTCTTCTGTGGATCATTAAAAATCAATTCAATGTAACCATCATCTGATTGAAACCGAAAATAAATATTTTGTCCTCTCCTAGCATGAGGATAGTCTTTCTTAATAAACTACATAATAAATATAAATTCATGAAGAAAAAACAGGAAATATTTAACCTCAAGAAGAGCATTCAAATCTTTAGCTGCAGTGAACGTGACTAGGTTTTCATAGTCATTATAAAAGAACAGTCCAGCATATGCTGCTGCTTCTAGTACACCAGTAGAAACTTCTGCAGTAAAATAAATAACATATCTTTGCTTCATACAAGTACAGGTACATATTTACCTTTGCCAGTGGAGCTAGAAGCAGTATCAGGCACAAAAGTAGCTTCTTCAGGTAGCAGTTGCTTAACTTTCAGTACTTGTTGCTGCTGGTCCTGTCCCCCTGCTGCTTGTTGCTGCTGGTCCTG